TTTTTGCTCGTGCACTTGCATCGCGATATAACGATAAGCAAATTACAACTTATTCACTTCATCCAGGTGTTATTGATACAAATTTGACTTCCAGTATACCATTCGCTTCGGTTGCTAAACTATTCTATAAGAAAAAAACGGTAGAACAAGGTGCAGCTACAACGGTGTATTGTGCATTGAAGCCTGGTTTAGAAAATGAAAGTGGACGATATTTTAATGACTCCAGCGTTACAAATTTAGCGGATAAATGGACAGATAACGATATTAATACATTTTGGGAATGGACAGAAAAAGTTATTCGAGAACGAACAGCCAATTTATAATGAAGAACAATATATTGTCAAAACTTTTATAGTTAACCATTTTTACCTTTTGAAAATAAGGATACAAATATATTTTTATGAAAGTATTTCTTGAAGTTTTGAACATGTTATATAAAACAGTTCTATAAAGCGTGAAGAATTAGTAATTGATAAAATCGAAATAGTCATATTGTTGGATAATCTGCGTAGGAGATAACGCAATTCGAAAGATAATTAGAATTTAAGATTTTAAATTCAAATTTCTTGGAAAGCTAAATAGTATGTTATTTTTTCAATAGCATATGACTAGAGATGTGCGGGGCCGAAATTTGAAACTTTGCCCCGGACCGAGATGCAAATACAGGAAAAAGAAGTTGTTCAAACTGAAGTCGGGACTAGGAGAATAAAAAAGCTATTGGTACAGTCTTTACGGAATTAAAATGTGAAACATGGCGTAGCTGCTGTTTCTCATTACAGGGAGATTGTTTTATTCTATCTATTTTAGGACACATTTCTTCATCATCTTTTTATTTAATTTTCCAGAAATACAATAAGAAAGTAGTTCATATATTGCAATGAGACATTATTGATGTGGAACCTGTGATGCCGGGTGATGTGGGGGGAAGGGTGAGTTTTTGCCCTATATTTCAAAAACTTCTTTTAGATCGTGTTTCACAAATCAGACTGAAGCTGAAGCTAGCAGAAAAAACTTGCCCCAATCGAAACTAAAGACTATAGTTATATATTATATGGTTTTAAACGAATTATCTTATAAATCATATCAATCAGAACATAATTCAAGCGAGATGACCCAAAAAAGTGCTAGTCATCAAATAGATAAATCAAAAAAACCATTATTGAAGAATTTTTTAAATGTGCTACAAATAAATTCTGGAATAGTTTTCTCTAGACCGACATCGGAACTAATTTAGATTTGCCGCAACCAGAACCGAAACCACTAGTATGATCTATCCCGTGATGCGAGATTGTTCAGTCACCATTCGGCTAGACGATCTGGGTTCATCAATTATAACAGCTACCTGTTCGCTCTGTCTTCTATTCATTTTTTTCTCACTCTTTCTCTTATATATAAACTCATGTTCTATATGAGATAGTCACAACTCGAGTGATGAAGTAGTGTAGTGAACATCTATATCGAGAATAGCGATAACGCTACTCCTTTAGTTTGTCATTATTCATCACAATAAAATACACGCTGCATTGATAGTGAAATAGACTATCATCTTCCTCTCATTTTCGTTACCCAAATCGGAATCGATGGAAACAACTTTGTTTATTTAGTTATCATGTCTATAGTGCTGAATTCTGATCAAAATCAATTTCTACCACAAATTGATCTTAATCAACTGAAACGCAATAGTCAATGTGTTTTCTATAATATTTAAAAAAATGCACGTATCATTTGATCGACTTTTCTGAAATATTATCATTTGACATATTTTACGATAACATTGAACAGCATTTTAAAATAGAAAAATTTAATTGATGAGAATTTTTCCTGACTAACACTAGCTATTATTTAAACAAAGATGTCTCTCTCTAGCTAATAATTCAGTGCCATCTGCGTAAGGAAAACTCTATTTATGTTCCATTGGTTTTTTTACCATGTCCACAGGGAAATCGATATTCTTTTTTTCTTTCTTGTTGTAAAAAGAAAAATAGAAGTCACACACATTAGGGATCTCATCGAGAAATCAATTGTTTTTTTTTTTCTTCAATTTAAAAAACATGGCAATAGTTTTACCACGTTATTTGAAATATTTTTCATTAATTGTGATGTTTTTTGCTGTTCTTTACAAATATGAAATTCCATCTGATCCATCATCATCTGAAACAAAAACTTTAATGTTAACTAAAATAGCAACAGTTCAATATGATCGAGCACATGTATATAAAGTTATAACAAATATTGAAAAATATGCATTGGTTTGTTGGTTTTTATTTTTTGGTTTGTAAAATTTGTATGTCTTTCTAGTGGTATCCAAATGTTGCTCGTGTTGAACATATTCAATTAATTCCAGTACATGTACATAATCATGAAGGTGAAAAATATCGATTAATTACTAAAGTGCCTTTAATTGGTGAATAGTTAATCTCATAATAAATATCAAATAGGTAACATTTTTTTTTTAATATTTAGGCGATGTATCATCATCTTTAATTATTCATACGGATGAAAGACCAAAACAGTTTATCTATTCTGTTGATTCATGGTTACTAGAAACAAATTCAATTGAATTAAAAGATAGTTTAACAAGTATAAATTCAACTCGTATCGAGTGGACAGTTTATACAAGACGACGTAGTATTCTTTTTCAAGTAAGATATTTATTACAAAGAAATTTGTTTCTTTTTTTGTTTCGAATTATTTTATTTGATTTTAGTATATTCTTTTACCATTTGCTAATTTTTATAAAAATCAAATTGTTCGTGAAGCATTATTTTCACTTGTAATGCAAATTCGTGATCTTTAATTATTTTCAATATTATTATAGTCTATACATTCCAAATTGCTTTTTCTAGTCATTAATTTTGTCCGCTTTTATTGTTTTGTTGATTACTTATATGTCAAATAATTAAATAAAAGAAAAAAAAATAATTTTCGACAGACCTTAAAACTTTAAAAAATGTATCAATTCGAGGAGATTAAAAGATAAAATCTCATTATCATTTTAATTAAATTACAAAATAGTAATTATTTAGTCACCTTTTCATCAATTCAAATAATGATAAATATACTTTGAGACATGTTCTATCTGGTGGCGTAAAAATTTTAAGAAAAATGAAACTACCGAAATTCATAAAATTAGCTTGGAAATTCTGCTATCGATGAGAAAATCATTTTTTGATAAAAATTAAACCACCTAGTAAGCACGTCTAGTAGATAGTCTGAATCAACATACCGTCTTGTGTTGATCATCGAAGAAATCTTTTAATTTGAATGTATAGTTTTTGAGAAATAAATAAATAAAAGTTTTGCTAAATTAATTTTCGAAATGATCAACCAGGGGACCTCCTAGAATGTCCTCTTCCGACTTCAATAATTTTTTGCCTATGGATGCTACATAGAGTTCTAATAAAAATTCTAAAAAGATTTCGGTTCCTATTGAGATTTGATTAAGCTATCCAGTTGTTAATGTGTCTATTTTCTAGAGGCTCCAGGTTTTCAAAAAACTCGTATTTTCGAATTTTGATCTGAAACTTTGCGCATATAGAGAACTCAGCTAGATTAACTTTCTTCCAAAAAATTCACAAGTTTCGAACAGAGTTTTTTTTGAGATATGAAGCTTTCAAAAAATATATGTTGTATACACCATTTATAGAAAAAGGTCTATATCTTGAAGAAACCTTGTTCGAAACTCCTGAGTTTTTTTTTTATGGAAACTAGTCTAATTGAGTTCTCTATATGTGTAAAGTTTCACATCAAAACTCGAAAATACAAGTTTTCCGAAAATCTGACATCTCTAGAGAAAATTTGATAGCTTAGTCAAATCTTAATTGGAACTCACATCCTTTTAGGGCTTTTATTAAAACACTATGGAGTATCTCTGTAGGTACAAAACTCATTGAAATTGAAAGTGGATATTCAAGAAAATTCTCTCATAAGTTCATCAAGACGAACACGTACCCTTTAATGCCAGTTGAAATCCGCTCAAATTGTGTTAGAATGTCCTATTCTGTGTCCTCTATCACCACAGTTAGCATAAATACTCCTGAACCATACAGCATGTTTTGCAAAAAAGCCTTGACTTTTTCGCTAAACTTCGTTTTTTTCAGACTCAAAAACATTTTTATTGAAGCTCAATGGTATATTCAGAATGAGTGCGCGAAACTACTTCGATTGATGTATGGCACAAGACGTTTTTGAGGACGAAAGTTACATGTCCGTCTGCCATGGGAAAAATACACACTGTGATCCAAAACTAAATTAAAAAAAAATAGACTGAGATTGTCTATGTAGAAAGGATTTTAAATCAGTATTCAGAAAATAAAACATAATGAAATCGATTCATTGAAAATCTAATTTAAAAAGTGATGCTAAAGTTTTATCAGCTAAAACATATTTTGGGAAAAGCTACATTGAAAGACCTTTCTAATTATGCATTCAAAAAATTCTATGAAGTCTTGTTTTTCAATATTGAGCAAATCTTTGAACGACATTGAAATGTATTCTGTAGAGACACCTTGAAATGACTATGACAAAAGAAGCCGGTCTGTTAAGATTTTTAGTTTATTTCCTATGGGTCACGAATATAACCGATCGTGAAGTTCGGAACCGGTCCAGTCCGACCAGTTTAAAAATTCTTTTAGACTGGTGAAAATAAGCTGGTTTTTTTTTGAGTTATTTTAAATGCCTCCCAAGAAGAAATTATCATTTTATAGTTGTTTATATCTGTTAGGTTTCTCAAAGATGAATACGTAATAGTTCTCTGTACAGTACGAAAAAAAAGTCATTTATCCCATAGCTAATTGGTAAACTCCAAAATCTTGAATTCTTATACTCAAATTTTGTAGACAAACCTAAACCTGATCTCTAAGGAGACATCAGTGAAATAAACTGAGAAGTTTAACTCTAGTAACACAGTTTTCATTATAATTTTTCCAAAATGAAATATACTTCGATTAAAGGAATAAAACAATGTAAATGAACAAGAGAAAATAAAATTGATTGTTTTTTCTATAAGAGTACTAAAACTTGCGCTCGACATATCAATAAAATTTCTTTCAACCGTTCCGAACTAGAGATGTTTAGAACTGAGACCGAAAAAACTGGCTCCCGTACCCATCTCTAGTCCAGACTGGTTATAACTCTGCTATGCGTTCTATGGTATTTTGTTGTTTGTTTTTTTATTTGATTTTAATAACGCCGTCTTATGGAAAAATGATTACGAGAAATCCCAGTTGCTGCCGATATAAATATATCAAAGTTCTTATGCTGTTGATTGGTAGAAAGGATGGATAAAAACATCAAACACAACAAAAAAAAAATAGGTGAAGCTTCGCGGTTAATCTTTTCTGTGTTTTGCATTAATCATTATTAATTAAACTTGAATCTGGCAATATATTTAACTCTACTGGAAGGATGTCGAAAGTAAGAAATACAAAGTCAAAGAATTCGATTTAAGTCGACTTTTACTGACATCATGAAAGATGTCTCTGCATTAAACGATAAATTTATCAAAATTCTATTGGTTTCTTTCTTCCATCCACACTTAAATCAAACGATGGTAATCATTATTCAAATAGCAGTGCATATGGATTTAGTAAAAATTGTGAATTATTATTACATCATCAATTTTATTTATATTTATAATATTGTTTAATTCTACTTGCAATCTATTCTTTTAGATATGTCGGAAATTAATGCATTATCATTTGTTAAAATGTTTCTTCATCTAGCTAAATATCCTGAATTAGCTGTTAATGGTGTTTTATTAAGTGCTCGAACTGATTCTACAAATGAAGAAGTTGATTCATCATCATATTTGCATTTTGTTGATTGTATTCCATTATTTCATGGTGTTCTTTCATTATCACCTATGCTTGAAATAGCATTATCACAAGTAATATCTATGAAAAAAAAAA